TGGCCTCCACCCTAGTACTCCACCCTTGTAGGGATGGCCTCCACCCTAGTAGCGATGGATGGCCTCCACCCTAGTAGCCATGGCCTCCACCGTAGTAGGGATGGCCCACCCGAGTAGCGATGGCCTCCACCCTAGTCTTATGAATACGGCGGCCAAAGGGGATGAGGTCTGTTGGACTGTCCGTTTATATTTGCCCAACGATGTGAGGCTAGGAGGTACAAATTTCATGATAAGGTTCGAGAGTTTTCTTGGAGTTTTGTTGGTGGGTTCCAAACGGGTTCTTTAAGAGCTTTCTTTGTCAAAAGTTTTGGAGGTACTTCTGAGGTGAAAGATGGAGTCCTTTTGCTCTGGTGGAAAGTCAAGGCGTTGAGTCACGGTGAGTTTGGTTTGGAGTTTGGAGAACTTCTGATTGGCCAAGGCCCCACACTTTGCTCTTGGAGAAGAAGAAATCCTTTTTTGAGTGTAAAAGAGGTGTTGACAGTGATCCCAAAACTCCTTTTCGCACAGAAAAACACATCATAAGAAGCCTTTTGTTGAAAAGCTTTTGCCAGTTCCCTTGCTGGGGGCGCCCCAAAACGCTAGAGCCTTCATGTTTGTGTCCTCTCTGAATGCTCAGGCTGAATGCTCCTTTTGTGGCGGGTGTGGCCTTCCTAACCCTCTTCGCCTACCTGGTGCTTGTGGGGACCCTGAGTTCTTGGTGGCCGTGCCTCGCAGTCAAAACTGCGGCGGAACCGCTCGCGCGGTGGACACGCCCAGCTCGGTCGGGGCGCAGGGGCGAGAACCAGGTCGGTGCGTATCATGGGGGCCCGAGCTGGAAGCCAATTGTGGTATGCAGAGATAGCACTTGCTGGGAAGAGGCAGCAATTTACAAGTTTTTGTTGAGCACAATTGCGGCAAGCATCTGCAAGCTATCTGAGTTACTGGAAGAAATCAGTACAAGACGACCAACAAACACAAGCAAGAAATAGGCCAGAAAATGAGAAGCAGATGGTCGATTGATGTTTTGCCACCGAGACAGAAGAAAACACATCTCAGTTCAGTGTCTCTGTGATTAGAGAAACCATGGGTCAGTCTAGAGTCTTGAAAGCATGAAGAGGTACTTTGACAATCTTTGACATGCTTGTCTTGCCAAAGGGGTGACTCTTGCATTTCCTCAAGCCGTGGGACAGCCCCATTGCCCTATGAGCAATGAGTTTATTGCGCCACAGAAAGCCACATGCATGATATGTGATTGAGTATCTCCTTTGTTTATTGCCTTGACTTGACTTTTGATGCAACTTCTTGAGTTTCAATTAGTGACCAGCATAGTGGCACATACCGTGATGAGTCCCGTTTTTATTCCGAAGGAACACTCCGATCATGCAGCCTTTTGTGCGACGCCACGCGTTGCTCAGAATTCAAGTGAAGACTAGGCACAGGGAGTGTATATCAATGCGTGTTGAGTGCTTATGACAATCAGCATGGGCAATTTGTTTAGTTTAGCTTGCTCGCAGTGGCATACTTGCCACTTGCCACAAATGAGGACTGGCGCTGGCATGTGCGGAGCTGCTTTGTGGGTCTTTTGCCTTTGTGTCTTCATTTCGATGGGCAACATGAGCAACTGGTGGCAGTGACATGGCAGCAATCAGCGCTGCGCATGCTGCGCAAGGTGTCAAGGTGTCGAACTCGAGGCGGAGCTACTAGTAGCGTCCTTGCTCCAAACGCAGCGATGCCCTTTGTTCCTAGTTAGCTTCTTGTTCCCACGCCCTGAGACCTTGGTCGAGATTCGTCACATCTGAGGGAAGCTGGTGCAGCTCCCATTCTCATTGGTGCTGGACGCATGGCACAGGTGGGCGTGCGGGGTGCTGCGCCAGTGGCAGCAGCAACCAACGCCTCTTGCTTGCAAGGGTGATACCGTATTTCGTGCAATCTATTTGCCGGGGCGCTGCTCTTGGGCGGAAGATTTCCGCACAAACAAGACCATCCTGGTGCCTGTGGGTAAGAGGCAACGATTTCAGTGGGCCAGCCAAAAAATGAGGTGCCTTGCAGCTAAACCAGTCTGGGTGTCAGTGCGATGACTCCCTGAATCCCTTTCAAGAAGGGTGCACTGGTGCGATGAAGAACCTCCAGAGAGATGAAAACTGGGCGTTGTTTGGGAGGACAACATGGTTAAGTTTCCCGAAACATCTAGGAACCAAATCATTATACAGTGCGAGCGCTTCTTCAAGGGGGCTTTCCCCGCCCTCAGGCGGAGGGAGCTTCCTTGAAGAAGCTTGAGCCATCCTGCGTCCAGAAATTAGAAGCTAGTAGCTAGGGTGCCTACTGATTAAGTAGGAGCGGGAAAACAGAACATGTTTCTTTTACGGAAATCGAACACGCTTTTTTCGGGTTTTGCACGCCTTCTCAGCTCTCCCTCGCTTCGCTCAGACTTGCGCCATGCTCACCAACATGGCAGACTCTTGGCATCGACCGCTGAGCACGCTGACCGCAGAGTTCGCACAAAAGGAGATGGTGGACATGGTACGACATGGTAAAAAAGGGTAAACACCAATGTAAACCGTATAGCCATCATATGGTCTTCCGGGGGTGTACCGCTACGCTTCCCGAAAGAGGTGGTAGGTCTGGTGGGTCTGGTAGGTCTGGTAGGTGATTGGATTTTAACACCACACCACGATGTGGTATGATCCCGCGGAGTTTCAAAGAAGAACAATGAAAGAGCAGCTTCTCCAGGTCAAGCTGCTACGGCACTTGACTCGTGCTATGCCTGTGCTTCTTTTGCAGTCGTTTGTTCATTAGCTTGTCATTTCCCGATAAATATAGACCTCAAGACGGGTGTATCTTTTCTTGTTAGATCCGCACCTTGCATACCTTCATTTGGCTTTTGCTCTAGGGACATTGAATATCGGTGACCTGACCTCAACAGATACAAAAGTTCAGGCCCGACTTGTTCTTCTGGCACTTCTGGGGCTCGCAAGGATCCCCTTCTTTATTAGTACGGTCCCCCACACATCCTTTTCCGTGGCAGCTCCTGGTGGGAGGATTTGCAAGAGAGCACCGTCAAAGTTTGTTTTGCAACCCTACTTTCGTCCTTGAAATCCCACATCCCAGCATCTTGTTTGCTGAGACGTTGTCAGAGAAGCAGCTTTGCTGCAACCAGGCATGGTCGGACGTTTCGGCTGTAAAAGGGAACCCACCTACCGTTGGGGCGTTTGAACCACTTTATGAACTTTATGCAGCCGGAGACTCCTCCGACATCCTGACTGTTGCCCTCATCGCTAGTTGCAGAAGAGGTTCCTGGGAACAAAGTAAAGGCATGCCAGCATGCCTGGAAGGAATCTACGTATTCCGTGGTGTGGTGGCTTTCTTTCTTTCGGCAGTCGTTTTCGGGATTGGATCGATCTTCACAGACGAAGCATGGTATGTAGAGGGGAGGCGGATCACCATTTGCAGAATGTATATATATATATAGACACAAAGTATGGTGGATGGTGCATTGGCAGACCCATACACAATACAAATTTCAGTTTGCTCGCACACTGACACTCCAGAACCATAATCTACACTCGCGCCCAGCATCCGCCAGGGCTACACCACTTTCTGCCAAAGCTCTGCCCCAGCCGTGCAGACTGTTCACCATGTGCACTATGTTCATCATGCTGTGCCCCACGTGGTTCATTCCAGCGTCCCTTATGCCCCCGCTGGTGGTATTGACCACGTTCACTGGCATTCCGGTGGCTTCCACTCTGCCATCGGATCCACCATTCCATCCATCCACACCGGCAGCTGGCACTCCATGGGATCGACTATTCCGTCCACCGTGCACACCGTGCACACCATGTCCAGCGCACCCAGCAGGGATTACGTGATCGATCCTGGCAATCTTGAAGACATTCCAATTCCGCAGACGTTGCACTGAGGAACTGACACTTGGCCAGCTTAGTTACATAGTTTCAGGACCGGATGCTGTTGCCCTTTACAAGTCAAGCATGAGTCAAACCATGCTACAAGAAAACTTGAGTCTTTTGTTCTGGAGGGGTTGAAGTTGGAGGGAACTTGTCGAATCTTTCGACCACAAGACCACAAGAGAGCCTGCCGTTAATCACGAGGTGGTTAGTCACGCAACTTGCTTGTCCAAGTTTTTCAAGGGCATAGGGGCCCCTAGTTTTCATGCCCCTGCATCCTTGCATCTTGGAGGTTTCAAAGTATAGCAACGTGGAAGTGTGAAGCGCTCCCCGTTTTTCGCAGAATTCCTGTGTCGGTCTATGTATCTTCCCAAGGAGGGACTTCTCCGGGCGTCCCGAGTAGGACGAGTAGATACAAGAAAAAGGAACCTAATAGCAAAAAGAACCTAATAGCGATGGCCTCCACTCTTGTGGATACAAGTAGGTCTCTTTCGCTCAAAGACTCTGTGGAGGGAGGCCAAAACCGGAGGCTCTCCGGGTCGGGTAGCGGGTCGGGAGTCCCAAGGATCAGCTCCTTAAGGTTGATTCGCCACACTTCTTTTTTCTTTCTCATCCAAAAGGATAGTTGAAGAATGTTGAAGAGCCTTTTCTTTGAGGGAGAATATTCGGGACAAGACTGGTCCTCGTGGCATCAAGATTTGAAGCCTCAGCCCTTTGCTTGATGCTGTGCCCAGTTTTGGTATCTAGGATCCAGTCGGAACATTGTAAATACTTAACACTACTCCCACTCCTTTTCCCCCC